TTACCATTTTGCCCCTTGAGGTATTTTGACTGTATTTTCTTCAAATCGAGTCCACTACATGTCTACGGACTCGTTTCGTCGCGCTCTACGCAACGGTGTAAACAAAATTTTCAAATTCGTCTCCGGTCAAAAAGTCAACTTTTCCTTTACTAAAATAGTCTGAGGGCAAAAGTATCCTTTTCCCTTAATAAATTAATAGTTAAATATTAATTAAGGTTTGGGTTGTTACATAACCGATCGTCAGAGTAGGAGCACAAGCGGATCTAAGTGTGGGCTGGAGTGGGCTCCAGCCCAGTGCTGAGTCTTTAGAATATACAACTTAGGCTAAGTAGTCCAAGCCCAAACTAGGTGAATCAAATATTAGCCTACACCTCTATGCAGACATAAGCCCACCCTTGTATAATCCCAACCATTAGATTGATTGGAATCCATGTAATGTAACTTTAGAACCCGTTTGATGCATTTTTATAATAAAGATAAATACTTCTAATATAATAAATGTTGTTGATATGTGCTCCATATGGCCTCACAACCTCCCAAAGTAAGGCCCCATGTGCTCCATAAAAGTGATATAATGGATTGTTTATTATACAGGTAAATGATAATTTCCTCTTTATCCTGCTCCATTTTGTCTATTGCAATTCATTGTTTTCTTATAAATTGTTTTTATTTTTTCATGAAAACCTTTAAATTATTTATTGGAGATTAAAGATACAAATATAAGCATGAGGTTCTGGTTTTTTTCTCTGTAATTCTTTTTATGCTATAATCTTTCTTCTGCTCAATCCATATTGTTATGATGGTATTAGAGCTCATCTCGATACTTCTATAATTTCTCATATCTTTCTTTCAATTTCTACTTTTTGAAGCTTCGTTCTGAATTTAGGCACGAAGCCTTTACTAAATTTCTGAACTTTTCAATTTCTCTGAGATTCTTCTGTGTTCTTTTTTGAATTTCTGGTTATTTTAAGTTACTTTTGCTTCCTAAAGCTTGGCTTATATGATGATGGTTAACCATAACCACTGGAAAAAACATAACCACCATTATAATAGATATCACAAAAACAAAAAACAAAAACAAAAACAAAACAAAAAAATTTAGCCCACCCCTATAAAAATTCATAGATCCACAATTGGGTAGGAGGATTTGAAACCTAAGACCTTGAATGCAGGAGTAAATGCTCTTCACCACTTGAGCTACACCCATTGCATGTGTATGTTTTTGTTGTTAATAACATGAAATACTCAATTTGATTATATATATATATATATATATATAGGTAGCACCTAAGTGTTCGATCAATTTAGGAGAAAAAAAAAATTTCATCTTAGGTTTTCTTCTCCTCGAACTTTATGTGAATTCCATCCCCAAATCCTAAAATAGGGTTTCGAGCAATGTGTGCCGCTTTGATTGTTGTCCACCTATGAACAGATATTCAATAGATGAGTTTTTTTTTTTTTTTTTTTGGAAAAAGATGACTTGGCTCTGATAAAAACCTTGTAAAACACACAATAGATTCGTAACTAGTGGTGAGAGAAAAAAAAAAGTACCTATATTTGGTGACCAAGACATGGAGAAAGGTGGCCAAGAAAACCCTACTATACTCTGCCCCTGCACATTGCCTCATTCCTCCACCAAAAGGCATGAAGTTCTTGGACACAGCATATGAGTCAAGGTCCTAAATTTCATCAAATAAATATAAAGTAAAATTATCTGCTAAAAATTGACGTCATTTGAACAAACGACAATGACACTCAATCCGTCCCCGAGACACAAACCTTCCAACGCCATGGATTGAACTCGAGGGGATCCTCGAATGTGTTGGGACTTAACTGAAGTGCAGAGGTGACAACCATAATGGTCCAGCCTTCTGGAATTGTAAATCCTGCAAAGCATTTACCGGAAACATTTTAGTAAGAATCCATTTGCTGTTAGAAACAAAAGGCCTAAGCTATTTGTAATTGAGGACTTCCCTTTACTGGGATATCTTTCAAAGCTCTACGTAATAAGCCAGGGGCAACATTTCCCAGCCGAAGAATTTCATTGATAACCTATATCGTTTCCGAATACCAGCAAATTGTAAGTCTTTTTCTAAGCTGTTATGCAAGGAAGAAGGAAATGCTTGTTGAGATTTGGGAACTAACCTGAAGAGTAAAAGTCATCGATTTATATTCGTCCCATGTGAGTGAGGAATTTGGATTTTCCCTGTTTTTGAGAATTGCCTCATGCTCAGCCTGACCACAAAAGATAATTGATCATTAGGGTCTTAAACAGAGGAGTTATGAAAATGAAATTGAAGCTCAAACTTTGTCTACGTACCGTCAACTCTTCTACAACTGAAGGATGCTCTGCCAGTAAACTGAAAGCTAATGCTAATACTGCAGAAATAGACTCAAAGGTGGCAAAAAAGCCCCCAAATACCAGCTGAACTGAAAAATCCTCTGACAAAACTTTCTCCTTTTCCATGTCAATGTTGATTTGATGAAGGAAATCTCCTCTCTGCGTCTCAGGTGTTTTTTTTTTTTTTTTTTTTGGAAAAAGATGACTTGGCTCTGATAAAAACCTTGTAAAACACACAATAGATTCGTAACTAGTGGTGAGAGAAAAAAAAAAGTACCTATATTTGGTGACCAAGACATGGAGAAAGGTGGCCAAGAAAACCCTACTATACTCTGCCCCTGCACATTGCCTCATTCCTCCACCAAAAGGCATGAAGTTCTTGGACACAGCATATGAGTCAAGGTCCTAAATTTCATCAAATAAATATAAAGTAAAATTAGCTGCTAAAAATTGAAGTGATTTGAACAAACGACAATGACACTCAGCCCATCCCCGAGACACGAACCTTCCAACGCCATGGATTGAACTCGAGGGGATCCTCGAATGTGTTGGGACTTAACTGAAGTGCAGAGGTGACAACCATAATGGTCCAGCCTTCTGGAATTGTAAATCCTGCAAAGCATTTACTGGAAACATTTTAGTAAGAATCCATTTGCTGTTA